TAGGCTAAAAATTCTTTCCTGAGCATATATATATATATATATATATATATATATATATATATATATAAAGGCCGGCCTGTAAGTTAGCCATCATAACAGCAATGCCGTAATTCCACTACACGTTTTATCGATTAAATTCTGATAAAATTTCTAGCCACTTTTCGATCTGGTTTATCTTTTGCATATCGATCTCTTGAAGTGTCATGGTCTTAATCCAGTCCTTTTTACTATCGTTTACCTTCCGGAATGCATGACAGTTCCATGACTCCCTGATTAGTACGGATTATTACCGAAACGCAAATAGTTCCAAATAAACTTTTCATAATTATTTTTTTATTTTAATAATCTCACTGGTTAATGTAACCCATGATTCCAAATTTGTAACTGGAGTATTTTAAAAGCCGGTTGAGTTCTTTTTAAGGAACTAAGTCTGTGGCTATGGTGACCGATTGTTTTTCAGAACCTCGTGATATTTGATGGAACCCTGTTAGTATATCATTTTTGACCTCGTGATTGTCTAATTATTTTCTACGGTAATTCACTTTGTTGAAATAATCCCACAGAGCGCATTTCAAACAAAACAACGGAGTGGCGAACAAGCTCGTTTTCAGAGATTCGTATTCATGCCAATACATCTCAATACATATCACTACTTGGGAATAAAATTGTCATGGGAAAATAAAATAAAATAAAAACAGATTACTAAAACCGATTTTATTGTGAGACCGGAAATCGGGTTCACCACGATCACATGTTTAATTGTCCACTCATCCGACCATCGAGATTACTCACGATGCACACGGTACGTAGATGATATTTATTGTGTGATCGGTGCAACATCAAATGTAACGGAACGATTAAACAGGTTCAAAAATGCGCATCCCAACATAACATTTACTTTAGAAATGGAGTGCAACCACAAATTGCCGTTTCTAGATGTCCGCATCACCCGTTGATCAGATGGTTCAGTGTAGCGTTCCGTGCATAGAAAGGCAACGTGGAAAGACCAATACATTCATTTCCGAAGCTTTGTGCCACTGAAGATAAAAAGAAACCTGGTTCGCTGTCTAGCGAATAGGGCAAGAAAGATCTGCAAGAAGGACACGCTAGAAGAAGAGCTCCGTACTGTAAAATCGATTTTTGCACGTAACGGATATCCGGAGCGTTTAGTCAACAAGATGATTCAGTGCACGGAAAACTCTTTACAAAACACCGAGGTTAAGAAAAAATCAGTGTACATTCTTTACCGTCCAAAGAGGACACATCAAGCGAGATCATACAGAGAAGATTATCTGACGCAATCGATAAGACTTTCTATGCATCTAAGCTCCGTGTGCTGTTCACGTCCAGGCCAATTGTGTGTTTGCGACTGAAAGACAAAGTTCCAGACTCTGCGGGCTCATTCTGTGTATACTCATTTAATTGTTCCTGTGGAACAACGTACATAGGCCGCACGGTCAGGCGATTGTCCGAACGGATTCGTGAACACCACGCGGCGTGGTTGAACACCGGAACGATTAAGTCACTCACCACTGGTTTCACACCTAGGTGAAACAAATCATTCCGTGAACGTGTGCGAGGCCCCTGTACAAAGTTTGCGGGCGATTATCGAGGCAGGTTCGCTGTCGGATGTTGGCTACGGCAGAAGTGGTAGGCATTCGTCTGCACAACCCCCCTCTGTGTGCCCAAAAGTAATTCACTTTCTTAAGAAAGGGAAGAAGGATGCTCGATACAACCGATCTAATCGAACTGAAGGAGCAAGTTGCATAATTTTATCCGGACGGAACGCGGTTGAGATCAAACTTTTTTTTACTTTTAGGTGTCCGTGCCTGCTGTTCATTTCATCCCTCCTCATCCGCACGTTGTATAACAACAATAATTAATAGGTTGTACCTGACTATTGCCCTAGCTTGTTGTAATCTAATCGTCGTCAATGCAAGCTCTTCTTCGTGTTCATTCTCTTGTTCTGAACGACCGCATTCTGCTTCCAAGGTGTCGATTTTTTGTCGCTTATAACAAATGGCAAGGCGGAATCAAACAATATAATCACTTCGCTGCTCGGTAGTGATTGTAAATGTTTTTCTAAAGAATTATGACGGCATATGGGGTCAGGTTGCTCCAGTCTGCCAAAACAGGAATTTGAAAAATTAACCTTGACTTAGACGTTCCTACTGTGGACTCCGGTGAATTCTAAGGAAAACCTGGTGGAACCCATTTGACGGGTGATTCAAATGTGAAAGTATCAGAGCTATTGGTGGTGCATCGTAGCTCAGCTGGTAGAGCGTGCGCTGTACAAAAGCGTAGGCGGTTGGTTGTCAGTCACAGTGACTACGTTCGATAAAATACTTGTAATTCGCGGGAACTTATTCGTGTAACCTGATAAACTAGAACCTTTGCACAATACATTAGTTTCCGTCTTATGGATACCCGCTCAACCTCATCTTCATGAGGACTACATTCGCTTATAATTCATGTACAATTAAGAACTCACTCTCCACGTTGTTTCCATTAAAAAACACAAGTTTGTTCCACCGGATTATATGATTTTGCCAATCGAACTGAACTACTGATCGCCTTCAGTTTAGCTGACACGTTATCCCAACTTTCACGCTTCGCAACGAACCACGGTGGAGATGTCTGCGATGTCGTTACTTGCCAATAACGTGCGCGCTCTCTCTCTCTGTGCTTTACCTTCCGATTCTGTTCACTCCGTTCGACCATTGGGGTTTTGATTGGTTCACTCTCGTTTCACGCCTATATCAAAGTTGCAACAGCGTTTTCAGGTATTACTTTTATGCTAACAACCGCAGTTCGGATAATTTTGGCAGGCGAATGTCCCTGATTTATCGATACTGCCAGAGAGCGTTTTCACGCAACTTTAACGCTTTAGTTTTTGATTACCGCTTTCCCTCTCATTTGAACAGGTTCAATTGACTGACCGACCATCATTGTCACACCCTGAGAAAACTGGTAAGATCTTCTGAATTGATTTTTTTGTACAGATCTATCTAATGTTTTCAGCGTCAGAGTTTCATAGTGTTTGACATCCGGTTCTAGTTTTCCTTTCTTCGTTATTGTGTAATGGTGAGCATGTAAAACAAATCGTTCTCCCCACGATTTACTTCGAATGTTTACCTGATGCTTAGATGTAGTCAGCCTACATATCTGATAAGCAGTGTTACACTTCTGCGCCTAAGGTTGACTTTACTGACATATCTAGGAAAGGTCACCTTTGAGTTTTGATTAGAAGCGGAAATCAATCACACGATCAGTCGTTAATGAGACAGAAAATGACGGAGAGTGCTTAGCATTCGACTTTGCTGTCTGATATGCCAACACATGCTTCGAGGGAGCTGATAAATTGAAGTATTTGGTAGCATGGGTCTATCAGTGTTCATCGTGAATCAAGCTCGCTTACAGAATGTGAGTCGTTGGTTATTCACAACCACTCAGTTAGATAAACAGTTGAGTATTTTCGAGACTTCGTAGTAATGCGCGTTCATGCACCCGTTGACTAACGATAAACTAGCAATATTCTAATCATACGTTAACTGATTCACGCGGCAGAACAAAAGCAAGTTTTGTTCTCACTCAGCTTACACATTTCCTGTCTGTGGTCTAAGTGAACCAGTCAAATATCAAAATGGTTGTTTTTAGTTCCTCTATGAGAATCGTAAAATCCTTAAAACTTTCGTGTGTTTCTAACGTAGAATGCACATCTGCTAGAGATTTTGGAGTAATAACTGCCTCCCATAATGTCTGATTCTCTGTTCACTGTGGCTGTAGTGCATAACGGCTAAATGTTTTATGCGTGTGAAGATTGCTATTTATTTCGATCATTGAAGGGATTCAAGTTCATAACCACCGGAACAACCTAAAGATAGAGTTAAAAGTTAATGAATGCATCACAACATTTTCGCCGTCATTTTAATACTTGACGATAAACGGTGTCTTTTCTATTGTTTACAAACCATGACTTACTGAACTAGAAAGTGATTATTATAGCAGGAGGGGAGCGGAGACGTTATTGAATGACAACAGAACTGAAGCTATCTGAGATGAGGAATAATATTTAAAGCTTTTCAACATTATGATTAGAACATTTGACTTGAAAACTTGTCGCTTTAACATGGTGGCTCCAAGCTAGAGCGGACTCATTCACATTCAAAACAGTGGCTGACGCGTTGAGAAGAGTGTCCTTAGGTTAGTGAATTTCCTCAGCATTGAGAAGTTCTTCGGTGATCGTCAACTCCAAAGAATTTTTTGTCCTTTCACAAGTGAATGTAATGCCCGATCATAAAGCTGGTTTATTTTGAATGCTTAGGTTGCATCGAACAACTGTGTGATAATATTTTACAGCTCAAATGAAATCAGAAGGAAAACTAGTGTGATTTTTAGGCATATTCTTTTTAACAGATGACGAGATTAGCATAGAGTTAAGCTACATTAAAAACCCCTTTCATCATTTTATTCATGAAATTACTATCCAAAATTAAAGTAGAAGCAGAATTAATGGTTATTGAGCTGTGCGATATCCACGGGTTACGAAATGACTCCTATTCCTTTTGTTGCACTAATGTGAATGCCACCAGAAGCAAGTAATGAGAGCCTGAATTAACATAAGGGTTTGCTTTCATCTGACCCCTGGTCATCCGTTCTCTTTCCCGTTTGATATCGCTAGGCGAAGGGTTGCAGCGAACCGACAGTTTGATCAAACGTTCCAACCTGATCGGCGCGGATGACAGCGCTGGGGCTGCTCAACGCATTCTGCTACCCTATCCGGATTCAGATTTCGATTTGAGTCAGGATGATTCAAATGTGCCCAGCGGTCACTCCTCTTCGTCTTCCCGAAGTCACTCGCTCGCGAGTCGTTTTCGTAGTTCCCGTCTGCTCGGTTCAGGCATGCTTAAGCCTGGAAAGCGAGGCGTGGACGAGTCTATGGTCAGCAGCAGTAATTCTCTCGCACTGCTTGGACCTTCACGTCAGTTGGCCGGTGTTGTGGCTAGTATGAGCACTTTGCCTACGGATTCAGGAACCTCTCCTAGCAGCGCGGCGGCTCTGGCCTCAGCTGTGGCTGTGGCTGGAGCAACGGGCAGTTGGCAACAACCACACTCGTTAATCGGTAGCGAAAGACCTCCTGTTCGGCCCAGAGTGGAGTCAATACCTGAGAAGGTGCCTCCCGCACGATCAAAAGATGAAAGTCACGAACCCGATCCCCCGATGCGTTATGTTCCTCCTGCGGCATCTGTGGCTGCGGGTATGTATAAATGTGCTCCGTTAATTTTTATTATTCTACGCACTGGTCTTCCTCCAAGTCATGAGATTCTGAAAGCTGTGTTGTTGTAAATCAATAAACATTGGGTGTTTTAGAATCCAGTGACGGTTTATATATATATATATCTTTATAAGTTTATAAATATATGATTACTTAGTCCGAAAGGTTGCATTTCTAATCATGTGTGTATTTTCTTTTGACTGTCCAATCCTCATACCTAATCATCGCCCACTCATCCATTCATCCAATAAGCTCTTACACTGGGGAATCTCTAAACTGGAGTTTCACTCTTGTTGAAGCTCATTACCAAAGCGAATTTATTGGGATTTGCACTTTTCACTTCTGAAAGCTGTTAGGTCAACAACTCGTCGACTTTCTCCGTAGTTGCCATCTGAACTACGTGTGTTAATGCAAGCATTAACGAAAGTTGTACAATGATAATTTTGACAGTGTTCATCTGCATTGTTCAGTTAGATGGAAATTTTCTGATGTGATTTTTCCCGATTAGTTATCTGAAGGGTGCATTTCATCTGTATTGCCTGCTGCAGGCTGCGTTTTCCGAGCAACCTAAGAAAATGTGAAGGCTTTCGGGTTGAAACATGAATTTGCATATAACGAGAAAACTAAACAGTTTATCATATGCATAGCTACCTAAAGCTAAACCTTATTGTGCAGAGATTCTTTGTAGTTTTTTTCGATGAAGACCCTTATTTGCTTTCCGAAACAGTTCGGATTAAAGTTATCCTGTACTAGAGGTGAACGGGCCATAGGTGAGAGGAAATCAGGGTTTGAAAACGTATTATTTTAAAATGCGGTATTCTCTCTTATTTCAGCGTGCAAAGCATATTATCTTAATATTTATGTTTGTCAAGGTACATTGAAAAGAACATGACCCTGAGGCCCATTCGATTGAACAACTACTACTACCGTGATGACGGGTGCGAACAGAGAGATGCAGGGAAATCAACTAGCTGATGAATAGTGTGTTAGTGAGAATTGCTGCTGGAGGGTTGCTGTTAAACTTCGTTGTTTTCCTTTGAAACCAACAGGAGCACAATTTATTTCCTCGAATTGTTCAAGGAAACCTTCTGCAGACAAACGACAATTAAATACCAACCAGTATGACAATCGTCTAATAGCAAACGATGTGAAATAGATTTTGTTGCAAGCAAAATACAAATAGCAAATGGAAAGTTGCCAAAATGATGTTATGATCTAGTATGGAAGCTAATTTTTATGGGTTTCAAGCCACGTATTTCAAAGGTGAAACTGCCAATAGTCGGGCAGCATCTCGGAATGCGATTAATATTCATCAACAGACTTCATGATAAACCATGCTCTTTCGTTTGGCCAGTTTATATCACGGAGGAATATTTCTTTCATGATAACTCCAGAGCCTACCATGTCCGGATGACTTCCAGAAGACACTTCCCATGCAAATCTATTGTAGAATCAAAGTGAAAGAACCTACCGGTCGCATTTGGCGTGCTGGTTTGGAATAAAATGGTTGGTATTGATAACAGTCAGAAATTGAGCGCACTGATCAAGTGTATTTTTGTGGACAGTTTAAAAGCGGATACTCAGAGTAGTGTGTTGATTAATCCGGATGACAATTCATATCTACTCTGTCATCCTATGATCTGCTATGAAGACCATCGGTGTTTGGATATTTCAACGCGAAAGAGCCTGAAGCTTACATACATGCAAACACGATCACGTTTTCTAGTTAAAATATTGTGGATACCACTTTTATGTTTCTGAGGGAGATATTATCGAAGCAAGAGAAACACTGCACTGTGGAGAACTGTATGAAATATGGATACATCTGTGTTCCTTGAAGTAGCACTCCTATTTTTGTGTACGTAATGGAGGCCTACCTCGAAACAAAGGGAGGCTGTTTATCGCTGTGTCAAATGGTGTTGACGTGGACCTTGGTATCTCTGTCATCCCAGATAAGCTGATTGTAACTTGCAGGAGTTTTGCCTTCATTGCTTTATTAAGTATATGATATTCAAGTTGCTAGCGTTCGTACTGTTTAGATTCCTTTGATACTTTTCATCCTGGACACAATTTGATAGAAGCAGCCTAATTAGGGCAGATAGTATCGATGTCTATTTTCCGGCGAAAGTAAACAAGGTTACTTACTGAATGAACTCGGTAACATTTTGGTTTACATAAGGTTGTGGCTGGATAGTCAAGCAACGCCGATGTGAAGCACACATTTTTAAGTATTCGTGTTTCATTAATTATCGGTTGGGTGGATATACAATGTCCGCATTCCTCGTCAGTCAAACCAAACCGCTCCACGGTATTTCCTGGGTTTTTCTTTAATAACGAAAATGTGTTATCCTTGTGCGAGTAATAATTGTTTTAGTCATAAGACCGTATTTCGAGAAAGTAACGCATAACTAATAATTTAAACTGTAACTTGGGCTTGATAAATGAATATAACACATTTAGACTAGTTTTTGCCATCTCTTACAACCACATGGATTCTTGTCACTTCCATGTCCTCGAGCGAAGATAGAGGACGGCATAGATCTGCTCTCACGTGAAAAACTGTCTGATCTGGAGTAAGTGGACGACACTGTACTAATGGGTGAAGATCCAGGTAAGTTGCCAGCTTTTTCAGATGGTTTGGCTTATGGTGTAGCCTTGTTTGACATTCATTTTTGCACCTCCGAAGTGTAAAATCTCACCACAGAATTAGCTTCGTTCAGCCCTCAACCTCACCTTGCCTGGGAGACATTAAGCTATCTGTGATAGGTTCAGTGTATGCTGCAGCGGTTCACTCAATGAAGGTATACAACACTGAAACCTGGCCATTCCGGAACTGGATAAAAATAGACTCTCTGTGTTCCAACACCGCTGCTTATGCCGTATTGCACACGTGTGGTGGGACAGTCGGACATGCAGTGCTGAGGTTAGATGCAAGGTTTTCGATAATTGTGATCTCCCACTACAACGAGTCTTCCACCTCTATAGAATAAGTTGGCTGGAAAATGACTTACGCATGCCCCCAAATAGATTGTTCTAGCAGGCGATGTTTACCGAGGCAGGTAATGGGTGGAAATGTCAAGTTCGGTAAAACTAAGACAGGGTGTGAAAGTGCTGATTAGTAGACATGCTAAAATAAGTCACCTTAGGCTTCCTGGAGGAGGTTCACAGTACCGCTGTGACAAGATCTGAAGCACCAAGTGATTTATCTCAGTGTCATAAACAGTTCCTCTCATGCATCTTCTCAATCTTCTTGCGATCGTAGAGCACATGCTTTCAACCTTTCAGTCTCCTCTTTACTCTTTCATTCAAATGGGCAACCGAATGATAGCAACCAAAACTGCCACACGGAAGTGCATCGTTTATGGTTATGTAGACTGACCAAGATACGGAATGTGTTTTCTTTAAACACAAGATCATTGTTTTTATATTAGCATCATAATAAATCGAAGCGTTCATTCTTAAACGGATTAACCGATTGAAAAGGCATCATTCATCATAAATTTGTTCGGAAATGATTTGGTTTGTGTGTCACAATCCATGAGCTAGTCTCCGTGAGTTGTTTCCCTCCATTCAATTGTCGCACTCGTGGTTCAATCGAACGCTACATACTTCTTTCTTTCGTTCTTTCTTCAACGCCTACTAAATTAAAGATTCACGCGGAAACTACTAACAAAATTAATCATTTCATGTGAGAAATTATTTGATGCAGCCCTTTTTCCAGATTATGGTACGGTTTTTATAAATGATGCATCAACCGATTTTCAGAATGTGTGATTTCTTTCTTTTTCACTCACCAGCCGTTCTCTGACTTTCCCCAAAATTATAAGGGTAATCATCTATAGACCATTCACGCTTTCCTTATTTTGCAGAATTACCCGGTACCTACACCGCATTGGGTCAACCTCGCCGGTCTGATGCGTCAAATCTCAGCCTGTTCCGATTATTTCGTCACAAGAAAAAACGCTTTCGATCTGTCGGTATGCACCTTCCTTAGCTCTCCATTGTTGCGGCGAACACATTCTGATAGATTCACTGGTTCGCTGCTTGTGATGTAATCTTTCATGGAATAATCTCTTGTACTTATTGGTTTGCAATATCTTAACAAGTCCAACGTCGATTTTGGGTTTGGTTTCTGAAGCGAAATAAAAATGTGAACGTTCATTGGACATGTAATTCACTTCCATGTTTACTCTCAATTTAATTACCCTGGATCAGTAAATTGCCCAATGGGCAAATCTAGGTCAAATTCTGGATGCACATTGATGCCATCAGAATGACGTTTCTGCAGTTGAAAAATGCCCTATGGCGCAGAAATGGAAATGAGGTTATATATATATATATATATATATATATATATA